ACAACACACACCCTGACTTCAAACGAGTGATACTGGCAATCAAGGTGGCTGTTCTGGGTCTTCAACTTCAGTAGTGGTCCTCTAAAGTGATGATTTGAGATGAAGTCAGCTCAAAACGGCAAGGGTGATAGGGTCGATGAAGTATATGCTATGCCAAGATTAGATCTCCCTGCAGCCGGCGGTATTGAGACGAGCAGAGTCCCAATATTTTCAGTCTTTTGAAGTATGTTTTGTCATACAGACCTTTTACCAATTTTGTTGCCAACCTTTGCAGACGTTCTAGAGCCTTCTTTTTGCGGCTCAACCATGGATTCCATACTTGAACGGCGTACTCCGTGCATGGCCCAATGAACGCTGATTGCAAGCGTGGGAATAGTGCTTTTTCGAACTGCCCGAAAGCACGTCTGAGTAGTCCAACTTGCTTTACAACCATATATGATACTCTGGCACAGTGCGTGGAACACCATACGTCCTCTTGTACCATAACTCTCAAATGCCTTTCATCGGTGGTGTGCGGTTGCATTTGGTTCCCCAGAACATAGAAGAAATGAGTCTTGTGCTACATATTAAATAATTTTGTATTGGGAAACCTTGAATTCGATGTCACTGGCGATTGACCATCGGTGGGCTTGATTGATCGTTTGTTTGAGCGCTATATAATCCTCTGGATGTGTTACAGTTCTTCAGATCTTAGCGTAGTCTGCGAATATTAGTGTATTAGGCCCAAGGATATGCAAGAAAAGACGAGGCCCCGGTACGGATCCTTGAGGAACCCCCTCGGTCAGTGGAGATAGGCTCCAATATCAAAAATGTGGAATATTTACCTCACGAAGAGGCCGGATGAGAATGCTGCTATCAATTATCATACACTAGCAGTTGAATTACTGTTCAAAATTCTCCATTAATACTCGGCAGCATGGCAGCCTTCATCAAAACTATGATCATCCTCATCGCCGTCCTCACCCTACTTATCATCGCAATGATCCTCCGTGGAATCAACCTTACCACCAGTATAGCAATTTAGAGTATGTAATAACTTAAAACCAACTGTTAATACTAGTTTACTTAGTGTCTCTATTTTAATGAATATAATAAATAATAAATACTTCTTACCGTTGCTCAGTTATTAAAAAGCCAATTTCTCTCGTCGTGGAACCCTCGGACACTACTATATTTCTGGCTTTCACTCCGGACCCGACGGACTACATGCAACCACAGTCATTCCGGGTTGAATACGTCATGAAAGACGGAACGGTCAAGAAGCTCAGTCTGAACGGAGATGAAACAAGTGTCGTCCTCACAGAGGGTTTGACGGAATGTTTCGATCACGTAATCCGAATTTACGCAGTTGGTCCGGCAGGGGACTCGGAGCCACTCGAGGTCGTCGCGAGCCTCCAAACCATGAGTACGTTTCTGCTTGATGTCATTTAAATTTCGTGGTTAGATTGATAGGGAATTTATTAGATTCCAGCATTCTTAATAGTATTACCGATGAATTCATAGTTTCAGATTTCTATTTATGTGAATAGTTGTTCGCTCTCCTGAGGACGAGTAACTTCGAACTTCGGACTTCAAAAGATGGTTGCAGTGTCCACAAGTGCATCGAATCTATTGGCCTCTATAGATCAGGTAAGCCTTCCTCTAGATTCATTTCAGAAGAAAAATCGATATCGCGATACCGCCGCACTCATGTCCGAGACCATATCACTGCATCTCAACATGGTGCATACACTGGAGAAAAATGCTATTTCTATCATGAGCTTCAGCTTCGGGGCAAAAAAGTAAAGCAAAATACAGTGAAACAGACAAACATAAAACGTGGGAGGGGCAAAAGGACCATGTCACCAGGGCAAGGAAGAGCCAACAAAATGTACATTCCGTTTTTATTGTTCTTTTGTTTCTTTTTGTTTCCGATGGTCTACAAGTCACAAGTCGCAAGATTGCTAAGGTCTGCTGAGTCGATTATCATTCATTGATGGAAGACCCCCCCCCTTCCTGTCTCAGCAGTCCACCTTGTAATCGAGTGAACGTAAACTGACACAGACTGGTCAATACAAAAACCCTTATGCTCATGTGATGCTATGTCTTGACCCCCTCTCGAGTAGGGTTACTCACGTCCAGACACAGGATGATCGATTCCTAGTGAAACTAGAATCTATCGAACGGGTTCATCTGGTTCATAGAATCACGAAGTACACCTTAGGAGCAAAGGGATTCGGTTTGGCACGAGTAGACTACAGTATTGAGCTGGGCAAGCCTCAAAGAGCACAATAGGCAGGGCCTTACGATTAGTGGTACATGGACAAAGGTCTCAACAACAATGTGAAAGAAGACCCCGAAGAACATAGAGACGAATAATTAGTCCCGCAGAACACATTGAGAAAAACAGCGTGGTGAACAAGCTCGTTTTCAGCTATTCGTAATCATGCCATTACGTTATGTAACGTTAAATGTGACTAACAATAAGAACAAACAAGGACTGATAGTTTCGAGTCGTAATGGTTCAGCTCCGACTCCAATCATGCGTGCATGTGTGCTTGTGTGAAATTGATCACGGTGTCAAAAGTTCAATTGATTGCACACGTGTTGGAGTGGCTGAAGTGGGCCAGGAGAAATTAAGTGCTTGCACAAATTTCTTCTGGGCGCACAAGTGAGGAGGGGTTGTGAATCCGAATACGGCTTCTGCCGTGGCTAAGATGCTTCACTGCTCTTGATTGTCTACATCGAACCTTGTAAATGGGTCGGAACGCGCTTACCACATCCACCGAGTGATTTGACTGAACGAGATGCGAACACACCGCGCTTGTAATTATCTTAATTGTTCCAGTCTTCAGCCAAGCCGGGTGGTGTTCCCGAAAGCGATCGGATAGGCGCCTGGTCTTACGACCAATATGGCCAGTTCCGAGAGAACAGGTGAATGAATATACTCAGAATGAGGCTACAGAAACTGGCACTGTCCTTCCGTCGGAAACATAATCGGTTTAGATGTGAACATAGCTTTAACTGCGCGGCGTAAAATGTTCTGCTTACTGCACTTTTGAGCTTTCTTTGAAAGATTTCCGCCTCCATATCTCCCTTGAACGGCAGATGCACATATACAGACTTCTTCGCTGCTCCTATTTCCTTTGGCCGTTCCTCGTGTTCTACGATTGCCCTATGAATAAATCGTTTAGGGTAGCCATTTCGGACAAAAACAGTTCTAATTCGCTCTTTGAACCGAAGAGCGAATTGGATTTCTCTTCCTCTGAAGAGGGACAAAACTATGGAATTGGATATACTGTTCATTCCTTGTTTGTTCTTATTGTTAGTCATGTTTAACGTTATGTAATGACATGATTACGAGTAACTGAAAACGAGCTTGTTCAAAGTCAAGTCAAGTCAAGTCAAAGTCAAGAAGCGGCTTTAATTCTCCCTATAGGGGATGAACATTCAGCTACTACACAATCACTCTTCTTTGGAAATTACATGATAACAAAGCGTATGGTGATACGTTACATATACAAAAAGCCAATTAAGCAAAGATTTTGTCTAAGAGTTCCAATGACAAGATCAGCGTTGGTAAGAAACCGTGCCAGGTACGGTATTATAGAAGACTTGTATGTAGTGGTGTGTGCTGCTATATGTTTATACATGGAACGAGTGCTGGTTGTGGAGATACATTGACTAAGGTGCGGGTACAGTGGGTGAGATGGGTCAAGTAGTATTCTGGTAGAAAGTTTCTGCCATGCCCTAAGGTGCTGTGAAATGATAAATTGCACAGCATACTCAAGGGATATGGCGCTGTATCGACATACGTGTTTGATGGATGTGCGTATGAGTTTGAAGTCTTTGATTAAAAGACCTGGAAAAATAACAGGGATGCATAATGCCAGTGGGGAAGGATACAAGAGTAAACAAAATGCTTTATTAAATGAGTTCGGGTAGATAGCATCTTCAAACGAATAATGTAAAAGGTGAGTTTTCTGACCTTGTGAAATGTCTCGATGACATGAGGAGACCAAGAAAGGTTGCGGGAAATGATAACCCCAAAATATTTGACTCAGCATGTTCTGGAAACTTCTTCACCATTGATAATGAAATACTGACAAGAATTCATCACGTCAATATATTGATCACCCTTCGGTAAAGAAAATAAAACATCATTAGACTTGGAAGGATTCATTCTAAGATTGTGTTGTGAAGACCAGTCAGTGAGCAGTGAAATATTCTGCAAAAGTTTGGGGTACACGGAGGAATTCGAAAACATCATGCCATGTACAACATCATCGGTATACTTAAGGAGCAGACAATCATCAAAAGCAGGCATTGAAGAAATATAAGTTGTGAACAAGAAGGGAGAAAGAATAGCGCCTTGAAGAACTCCTTGAGTGGAGGGTGAAAGTGAAGAGTTATGACCCTTATATTTGGTAAACTGTAATCGATGGGTGAAATAATTACTTAACAGATTGGTAAGCTCCGGCTGAATGCCTTTCTCAGAGAGTGTGGAGAAGTTTGGACCTATCAACACAATTAACGGCATCACTATAATCAAAGAAACATACCCGAACAGCTTTACATTTCCTGTCCAAGGAGGAAGAGATATAAGGAATAAGGGATGCCAACGCATCAGTGGTTGAACTAGATCTTCGGTAGGTAATTTGATTGGGATCAGGTGCATTCTGCTAGGGCAGCATTTTTTGTAGTAAAATCTTTTCCCTGACTTTCAAACCCACAGAAGTGCAAGCAATCGGGCGAAATTTGGAGGATCCCTTTTTGGGTACTGGTGTGATAGAAGCCACTCTCCAGCAGTCCGGAATGCAATACTTAGTAAAACACAGGTTGAGTAGGTTGGTGAAAACAGGGGAAAGGGAGGCTGCTCATTCTTTGAGCACAACAGATGGCAGTCCATCAGGACCGCATGCTTTATTAGACTTCAGGTTAATGAAGGTTTTGAATACTTCAGTTTGATCAGTACTTAAATTAACAACATCAGGAGAGGGGGAAACTACTGTGAATGGAATAGGGGTGTCGGTTTCAGCATTGCTGAATTGGCGATTGATATCGTCCACACTGGCAGCTGGAAGATTCCCCGCCGCTTTGAGGCCGCAGAACTCAAACATCATTTTTCATGTACCCCGACAATTTCTGTTTGCCAGTAGTGCATGCACATAAGCGGCGTTTAATCTCCGCAGTTCAGCCTTGATTGCTTTCGAGTGGTCTCTCACCAAAGAATACTTTTTCGCCTTGAAAGCTTGTTCTTTCTTCCGACGCAATCGTTTAAGTGTGGGGGACGAAAAGCGGTCTGACCGTATGTATAAAGTTTCCCACGGGCAGCACGTGTCATAACAGAACTTCAAGTATTCAGTCAGGGTATCACAAAATATAGAGGGGTCATTGTGTACAAATAAAGAGAAATCTGTCTTATCTAATATATCTTTTAGTCTAGCAAGATTTTCGGGTTGGCATTGACGCCGACGAAGACGACGATCACGATGCCGAGTGTAAAACTGGTGATTGGATCTACTGTAGATCGTGGGAGATAATTTCAGTGTTGCATGATCAGAGGTGCCAATAGGAACGACAGCGCAAGTTAAATAAACTCAGGTCGTTAATAAAACACAAATCAAGATAAGCCTGGAATCTGTTCGGAAAGTTAACAACGTTTTGTAGTCCAAGGGTTGTCAAAAACGTGACATCAAACCCATTGAAGTCACCACACACGATGAAAAGGGACGAGTCTACGTAATTTAGTAAAGCGGCGGAGAAAATATCTGTGAACTCGTTAAAGTGATCAGTGGAACAAGAAGGACAAATGTAAATGGAGAATGTAAATGTAATGTTCGCCACTTTATTGTTTTAAATAGAGACGTCTTGCATTCGAAGGTTGAACGAGTTCGTTTCAGATGAGAATGACGAACTGGCAACCGATCTCGGTCGCTCTGATAGGGAATGTGTGATGCGATGTGATGAGTGGATACTCCCTCATTTTGATCAGGCGTATGTGTGGACATAAATTGTTGGATAAGCTCTCATGTCCGAGGTCCTGAAAATGCTGGTGTCCAAACTTCCACTGAGGTCATGACTTTCTCAAAATCGACCGTGTTTTATTTCAAATGCTATTTTTCGAGCACTGAAAGATACATTTTAACAAAACGTTTAACACGGGATGTGAAACATACGCACAAATAAAAAAGAAAATCGCCACATTTGCATTGAATAACAAAACTAAATTCAAATTACCTGCAAAATTCTAAGAGGTGTCAGTTTGAGATTCCTGACCGCTCTCCACTGGAATAAGATTCCAAGGTCAATGACGATCCCATGATAACTTTTTACCCAACTTAATCGGTTGGTAACACATCACAGTAACTATAGTCGTGTTGCCTGAAACGAAAGACGTGGTGAGGCGATATACGTTTCCGAAACTTGAACTGCAAACACATTAATCGGTG